AAATGCATTTAAAAATAAAATACAGAACTGGGAATGGTTATTTGTGGTTTAGCCTAGTGACAAGTAAATTTGGAGATGAGTAAATTCGACTTATGTTGCCTCTCCTGAACCAATTACCAATGTAAGGTAAGGTATACCTGTAAATTGATTCAATATCTGACAATTTTCTTTAAATGCTGGTGAGAAAATTAGAATTATTTATTTTTTGTTATATTACAGTATGAAGAAAAATGGATAAGATTAAAAAATATGTAATAAATTATATTTATTGCTTAGTTAATGAATAGCTAAATTTGCTTGCTTAGCAAATGAAAATAACTGTAGGGACAAAAATTTTTAGTGTGAGGAAACTTGGAAACATGAGGATTTTTTTTATGAAGTAAAACTGGTTAAGATGCATTCAGAATTTTAGTTGACACAATATGAAGGAATAATGACACCAGTATAGAATGAAATTGAAAACAAAAATTATGTAATATAAAAAAAATGCTGTTTGATGCAAATTGGTCCAATTACGGCAAAGATTCAAGTTCCATTAGACTGTGAACTGAAAATTGAATAATTAAAAATAAGTATTTAAAGTGGAAAATTTCAAAAGAAAAACATTTGACTTATTTCAAATTTTGCTTTTTCAACATAACTCTCTTCTTTTTATGTACACTACCTCTTCAGTATATCTGTCTGCCTTTGTTTTCACTTGGATCAGTTGGGGTCTTCTCCATTTTTCCTAGGATGAAGGACAACCTATTTGTTGTTAGTTTGCTGAATGAAATTTTTCTTGCGTTTTTTCAGCTGATTGCAAGTTGAGTTTTCTTGCATTTTGGTCAATATACTTGTCGTCTAAATCATTAGGGTTCAGATGTAACAATTTGAGATATATTATGTAGAATTAAAGTATGATTAATAAATTCAAGTATTTCTGATTTGGAGTTACTTTTTGATGTATGATAATTATATAAAATGATATTATTATAGTTAATTAAATTATCCATTTTATACTGTATTAGATGTTTTTCAATTTTTAAATTATCGATTTGTAATTTTAAATTGTCAGACTTTCCATTTTTTGAAACTGAATTTTATTTTCTCATATAGTTCTATGGATTAGATTCAAATCTTCTTTTATAGATTTCATTTGGGTGGATAGTTTATCATTCGAAGTATTAATCAATTCCGAAATTTTTTCCCATAAATCTGCTGTTAAAATATTACTCAAATTTATCAAAGTGGATGGATTAGTTATATTAGACTCACCTGGGAAATTTTGCAGGATTTGTGAATTTATTTCCATATGAGGATTGTTGATTTCTAGTGATAATTCTTGTAATTCTTTTTCCATTAACAAATTATAATCCGTTATAAGTTTGGAATTTGATGTGTCTGGTTGATTCTTTTTGCTATTCTGTTTGGTTCAGTTGAGTGGAGGTCTTCCACATTTAATTGGTGAATGGTGCATACTTATCAGTTCTTAATATTTCTTCAGAATAATGATTTCTAGTTAGTATTATTCACTTTTGATTAATTTGATTAGTTAATTTAGAGAAATACACTAGTTTCCCAGTTAATGTCAAGAGCAAGAACAAAGTCACCAGCAGCACACACATCCAAGACACCCCCCCCTTTTTCAAAATCTCATCAGATTTATTATTATTAGTGATGGGATGATTAATCAGAATCAGAAATATCAGAAAATTTCTGGGAATTAGAATTGAGAAAATCTCATCATGATTTCTGATTTTTAAAAATGATTCTTCCACATTTCATAAGAAAATTAATTTTTGTTTTAGTCAAAGATTAAAAATTTTAAAATTACAATATTAACAATAATATATTAGTTTATTGGAAACTTTCACATCAACAAAACAGGGAGTATATGACATATGTCATGGTGAACTCACCGTGACATTTGTCATGACAGACATTTTTCTTGCATAGTCCAGCAGATTCCAACTTATTTTTATCGTGGAACCTTTATCACCTTAGTAAAACATGTTGGAACCCTGACAATTCTTAATGATTATAAATAAAACAGAAAATAGAAACACAAAAAATAATTTATTAAAATTGCAATTGATAGATTAATAATGGAAAGCAAATATTACTTATTTCAAACTGGTCATTAATGTTTTTTCCTTTCAATATTTTAAACAGTGTGCTAGTGCTAGATTTGTACTGTTGTTTGTATCGACCTTTTTGGTCTACTTGTCACTATAAACATTAGAAGTACAGTACTTGCTACATTTTTCTTCAAAACTCTTCTCTCAGCCAATGCTCTGATTTTTTAATTTGGGGGTATGCTTATACTAAAAGCGTTATAAATTTATATGATTTCAACTATATTTTTATATGAAAAATACTTAAAATATTGCAAAACTCTAATAATCTTTGACTGATATGCTCACTTATATGCTGTACAGTTGCACTACAACACATTACAGATGATGGGACATTAAACCCCTTGACGACACTTATCATCCATTCAACATGAGTATCCCGGCACTAGTATTGTAGTATGTACAGTACCATGAGGTGTCTGACTGGCCACACTTGTCATTAGATTCAATAGGCTTATGCTGCAGATATGGATGAATTAAAGCATATTTAACAGTTATATTATTATTTATATGTTGGATACTTTTAAAGTTATTTTTTAAAATGATTTTCTAGCTTTATGTTAAGTTTTACCATATTTACAGCTTTCATTATCTTCTCAAACATTATATTATGATTTTTGTTTATTCTGTTACCTATAAATTGGTCCCCACTGTTTATATAGCTACAGATAACTCTGGCACATATGTAGGATGTCATGAGAGTACTCAACTCAAGACTACAACAATTACACTTCATATCTCAAATTTGCATTGGCACATTTATACATCACTAGATTGAACAGATTTTATTGGCAGAACCCTAGAGTCAATTGGATCAAAATAATTTAACTACTAAACACATATTAAACACTTACATAGTGATATATCTATATAAATATTAAAAGCAAAATGTTCCATTATCATTACACACAAATAACACAAATTTTAAAATTAATTTGATTTATGATTTAAAATTTCAAAACAACTTTTAACCTATTTTTAAAAACATTGTTTTAATTTTCGATTGATTTGACTTTAATTTTAATTAATTTGATTTTACTTTTACTTTTGGTTTTAATGTAAAGACCAGAGTTTTAATTATTATTTTTAATATTTATTTAATTTTGCCTGCATTTTTTTGAATCCCCTTAATTACAATTTTTTAAATTAATTGCAACTCTGTTTTTTCTTTTGCAATATAACTATAGAAACTGTTTTAAGGTTGTTTTGCACAAAAGATAATAAAATTTTAATTTATTTTAAGTTTTTAGTAATTTCACTAATTTTTGTTTCATAAAGTTGCCTGCTTTTTAAAATTTTTAATTATAAGCTAGTTAACATTGATTGAACTATCGGGCTATCTAGTTTCAAATTAAGGCCGGCAGTTGGCAAAAATATTTAAATGTTGGCAAGACATTTTAAAATGTAAACAAAATTATATTTTACTTGAAAAATACTGAATATTAAAAATAATTTTATATAATATGTTTATTTATAATGATAAAACGACTTGCTTATTATAACTATGAAAGTTTTTATGATTCACAGACGATGCTATAATAAATTAAATTTTCAAATGCTGTTTGCATGTTTTTGAGTTAAAAATAATTGTTTGCACTAAGTTTAATGCTGTTTTGAGATTTAAAAATTGATTTTTCAAGATGAGTCGGTCTAGATATTTGTTGCTTGAGTGAATGAATTCAAAAATCAGTTAACTCATGATGATGATATTTGTTCAGCTTGTTGCATCATTTGCCAAACTTCATTTAGTATTAAATACAATGGAGTTAAATTATTTACAAGACATGCCTGTTGCAAAAAGTGTGAAAAAAGTGCAACTTCTCATTTACTTTCTCCTCTCTCATCATTTCATTGTCAATGAATCAGTTTTCAAAGATGGCAACCCTACATGACATGATGGGATAGCTTGTTCAGTTAAAAAGGAATTAGCTGTAATTTCTTCAAGGATAGTGTTGTAATATTAACTTTATTGAAAATAAGCTTACAACTTTATTTTGTAGTACACAATAAAAGCATGCGTATCCACATATAAATGGAGAATTTTCATGTTTCTTTTGAGAGATTGATTCTGGATTTCTCAATAGTTTTTCATTCGTAAGCTTGATGTTTATTAATGAATGTACTGTGCTCATAATGTAAATCATAAATTTTTCTAAACTAAAAGTTTAGAAAGTATTTTCCAATTTCAATATGATTCCTGATTCTAATTCAAAAGAATTAGAGTCAGGAATCATATTGAAATTGGGAAAAATTTTGGTATTGTCCCACTACTAATTATTATTATTATTATTATTATTATTATTAACAACAACTGTAATTGGAAAAAAAAGGAGGGGGTAATAAAATTTCAAGAGCCCTTGAAGGGGGTCAACAGTCAAAAAACTTTAGGAGTGATGTTTTAGATATTCAGATATTTTATATATTTTTATTATATACCAAAATTTGATTATAAAATTACAGTTAAATTCTTCATTAACTGTTGTGTAAGTTCTTCATTAACTGAGTTGTTTTTTTAATATAAAAGTATTATAATCAGAGAAACTTCTTAACATATAGGCATTAAAATAAAAATAACTTTAAAAACTCACGCCAATATTTGTATAACTTATGGATACAAATTCACTGAGTTCAGCGTTAATAAAGTTTCTTTAGTATTAACACAAGCACTTTCAAGCACTTTATTAATGCTGGACTCAGTGAATTTGTATCCATAAGTTAGGCATTAAAATAATTTAACACCTACATGTTAAGAAGTTTCTCCTATTAAATGATCTGTTTGCTGTCCATTTCTGAATTATAGTATTATAATCAATGTAAAATAGCATTTATGTTGATAAAAAATTTATTAATTGTTGCATTGAAAATTTTTTTAACTTTTTATATTAGGTAATCGATGTATAAGTGGTCAACAGCTAAGTCAGGATGGTCATGTAGTAAATGATTCCCATGCAGAAGTTGTTACGAGAAGAGGCTTCTTAAGGTATTATATTTTGATTAATTCAAATATTTTATTGTATACTGGCACAATGAAGTGACTTTTCTTCAACACTGGGCAAGTTTCAATCTTTATTCAGTCTTATTCTAACTGAATAAAGATTGAAACTTGCCCAGTGTTGAAGAAAAGTCACTTCATTGTGCCAGTATACAATACATAAATACAACACGGTTTCGACAACAACAACA